CTTATAAGCCTTTAAAGTAACAGCGTTTTAAAAAAGCGTTTCTTTCTCTTTCTTTAACTAATTCTATACAGCGTTAGAGACAAAGGTGTTACACTTACTATGCTTTTTTACACACTTAACGCACCTATCTAAGGACAGAGTTAACACATATAATAACCCTAAAAACTAGTAAGCGCTATAGAGCCTTATTTTTATCTAATAAAAAGGATTAAAGCAGAGTGCAACGTAAGGATAGTAAGATAAATAGAACTAATAAGCTATTTAGTTAAAAAAAAATGTTAAAGATACCTTTTAGTAGGTAAGCGCTTACTTTATAAACAAACCTTTACTAACACAGTTGTGCAAGCAGAGCAGTAAGAACACTACTAAGGAGGGGAGGCAGTGTGTTATAGTCTACAGTTAGACTAGTGTAACTCCACTAACAGTGCTCCATAATTTAGGTAGAACAGAACAGGGTTTGCTTATGGCTAATTAGAAGACGCAGAGGCAGCGCAGATGCCTCTAGTAATAGACAAATGCGTTGTCTAATAAGAAGGACAGGCAATAGGTCTAGGAGCTAAAGGGAGCCTAAGGAGCTCTCCTTAGCAGACTTCTATAAACTCCCTCTACTCCCCTTAGCAACCTAGCACATGTATATAGTTAAGCTATAAACACCCCTTAGAAGGTGTGTTTAATGTTTAGTTTATTCTCTACATAAACTAAGTAGCATTTAGCTTTCTAAAGAGCTGTAATACTATTTATATATCTTATACTATATATACCTCTAACCCTGTCTAACAGGACTGTTTAACCTGGCCACTATACTGCTGTAAAGGGCAAACTATAATCTAGTCACTCTACCTCCCTCTAGTAGCCCATTAGCCTGTACGTAGGACTGTACACCCTACCGGTTGGCCCCTACCATCCGCCCTAGCTTCCCCCCCTAGGAATATCATTAGACCTGAGTGCTTCCACGAAGCAAGGATTGTAACAAGCGTAAGCTCTCTACTAAAAGTAATAAAAGACGCAGCTTAAGGTATCTTTGCAGTTAGGCTACATCTTCTGTTAGTAGTTAGGTCCTGTGCTGCAGTGCAGACAGTTAGGCATTTTACATGTTGTTAGTAATCTGTCTAATATGTTAGCCTATATTTTGCTTTCTTAAATGCTTTAGGGCTACTATCCTGCTTAGTGCTTAGTAGGCTAGTGCTGTACACAGTATTTATTTATGCATAAGTACTATGTGTAAGAACACTTGCGCAGGTTTTTATAGACAAGAATTAGTTATGTTTATGTCTATTAAAAATACTTCTTTATCCTAATTATCTATAATAAGTAGTTCTAGTATATACATTAAAACTCTTTATATTACTAACTTTTATAAAGAATGTAATAGCTTTTTAATTATTATAACTTTAGTTTTTTTTAAAATATTACTAACACTAGCAGTAGCGTTTCTAGGCAATTATAGCATAAAGATAGTGTCTGCAGCAGTGTGCTATTCTAATTAGGTTCTTTTTTATATAAAAGGATTTTTTTAAAGAACTTCTACTATTCTTTCTTATTTAGCATGTTATAGTGTACTATAGTAATTTTCTTTATAATAGTGTAGATGTTAACATTGTTATTAAGGACTACTTTATAGAGCCCTATTCTGCATATATTAGGCCTATGTATATCTCTACACTTTTAACAGTTTTTTTAGTTAAAACAGTTAGCAAGTCTTTCTACTAAGATTCTTAACATAGGTTGCTAAAAAAAAATCTTTTTCTTTTTCTATTTTATATTTTTAACATAGTTAGTAACTTATGTTTATTTTTACTATTTTTTAAAAATAGCAGCTTGTTTAATAGCTCTAAAAATACTATTTTTATTTTAGACTTTAACTTTTTAGTAGTTCTTTAAATATTTTAAGAATTTATAGTTACCTTTATATTTCTAGTAGAGTTTTTTATTTAGTCTATTATAAATCTTAATTACTAGTAGACCTTACTTTATGTGTATTACTTTTATAAATAGTTTTTTATTTTTATTCTTTAGGTTTTTAGAGTCTAGGTAATTATAGTAAAAGTGTTTTACTTTTTTATAATTAAAGTAGGCTTTTTTTAAGCTATTTTTATTATTTTTTACTTAAAGGTAGCTTTTTACTTTAAAAAAACTTACTTTTTTTTAAAAGTACTATATATATACTTAGTGTAACTAAGGTTTATTAGTTTACTATTAAACTAAAGGTTTTTTTTTTTTAAGAAATGTGTTAGATTTTAGAGTAATTACACTAGGTTATTTTTTTATTAAAGTGTTCTTAATGTTGTCTATTATAGGTTAGCGCTTTTTAGATGTAGTTTTTAAAAGTAGTTAGCTTTTCTATATATATAAACTTATTCTTTATTACTTTAGAAAGTTTATTATAAAACATCTATTTAATTACTTTTTAGTCTGTCTATCTACTAATAGCTAGTTATTTATAGAAGTGAGCTGTGTATTACTAAACTATTTTTTTATTATAAAGTGTCTATTTTATTTACTACCTTTTCCTTTTAATTAATAACTTTATAGATAGCAGTTAGTGCTTTTTTAAAAGTGTCTAAGTTCTAAAAAATCTTTCAAGTTTCTAAAAAAAAGTATTTTTTATAGTCTTATACCTTATCTAGTTATTTATATGTAGTTAAAACTAAATAGCTAGAGATTCTTTTAAATATAAACTTATTTATGTAACGTACCTAACAGGTTGGCCACTTTTGCTAAGCCCCTACTAAACTCTACCTATCTACATAATGCCTTAACAACAACACTAGATTAAATCTTCTAAAGAACGTTAGATATAGCTTACTCTTTAGGCTCTTAAACAAGACTTAAAACTCTCCTTGCCACGCGCTGCAGCTATCTATAATGTCTCTCACACAACACTAAGCAATTAACGCGCTAGACAGCCTTCACAAGCAGAATGCTAGCCTAAATTAAGGAATCTAACTAAGCTTAAAAAGGAGGTAGTTGTTAAGTACATACTTAAGCTTATTACACGCAGATTTCCCCCTAGGCTTGCAGCTGTAGCTAATATAGCTAATTCCTTGCCTGCAGAGCGCAATCTAGGCCAGGTTAGCTTAAACTAGACTAGTATGTGGGTTAAGCACTACTCTAAGTTTATAATAAAGTTTAATTGCAAGTATAATTATAAGAGAGCACTCTATAAAGATCTAGAGGTTATCTAGGGCTAGTTTTGCCTAGTAGCTAACATAAAAGCTAAGTATAGTATCTAGGATAAAGACAGGTATAACTTTAACAAGTTAAGCTTTATAATAGGCTAGATATTAACTAGAGCAGTTGTTACAGCTTTAGAGAGACAAAGACAGCTAAAGGCAATATAGTAAGGTAATAGGGAGTAGATAATAGTTATCTAGGGCATTAACATAATAGGGTAGGCTATAAGATTACAAAGCTTTAAGCAGCAAATAAGGCTGCTACGTAACATAGATTGCATAAAAGAAAGCAAATTTAGGCAAAAGAGACCTTAATAGTTAAGGATAGGGCTTGTCTAACTGCTCTAAAGGAGTTTAGAGCGTGTAGTAATAGGAAGAAGCTAAAGACGCAGGTGCGCACTAAAGAAGGTAAGCTAAGTTAAAGGCAATACAGGCAGTGTAATTAGACTAGGCATAACTTACATACATGTAAGCAAGTAGCAGAAGTAGACTCTAAATAATATCTTGTGTTGTATTACTTTATACAGGGCTAAAGTAGGCTGTTTTGCGAGAGAATGGGGTGGTTTTAGTAGGGGCTTGGCAAAAGTGGCCGGCTAACCTGTGTGGCCGGCCAACCCGTTAGGTACGTTAATTATTTCTTTATCTGTCTAAAATGCACCTTTATTATATTACATATAAAGGTAACATTTTATAAAGAAGGGTTTAAAATCCTTAAGTGTGCTATTAAAAGGTGTTAGAAAAGCTAGCTATAAAGACTTTTTTAATTTAATACTAGCTTTCTTAAGTGCTGTGTTCCTTAGGTTAGCCACTTCTATGTAAAGTGCTTAGAGTTGCTAGGCAGCTAGGTCTTATTAGGCTTAGTGTAGAAGCTGTGCTTTAAAGTTTTTAAGCTTTTATTAGAGATATAATATTTACTAATTCTAAGCTTTTTCTGTCTAGAATAGGGCTTTACCTGTGCCTACAGCAAAGGCACCTATTATTTTAATGTTAGAGTGTAAGGTGTAAAAAGCTATACTTTAAAAAAAAGTAGTAATTACTATTATAATTTTTACTTAAATAAAATAGTAATTTTTAGAGTATAACAGCTTATAAAATAAAGTTAATAAAAGAGAAGAACTTAGCTAGATTAAGTGTATAGTCTGTCTAGCAGAGTGTATAAATAGCAGGTGTAAAAAGGCAGATTGTAGTTTGCCCTAGCAGCTGTATAGGGAGCTAGGAAACTAATCTAAAGGATAGAATAGAAGGTATATATAGTGCAAATATACAAGGCGGCAATGTTCTTTTTAAAAAAGTATTAATGCTTTTTAGTCTATTATAGAAATGAAACTAAATAGTAATTACAGGTTTTTAATCATAGTTATAATTAAAACTATATACATAAGGTTTACATGCAGTGCATGCAATGCCTGCAGCTTGGCTCCTGCGCGCATGGCGCGCATTGCAGGCATAACCCTTGTCCCTATTAGACAATGCATTCCTCCACGCACTAGTCTAAAATGCAAAGCCATTCCTCATCTGTCTAATCACGTGATCTGTGTAGTGCGGGCTTAAGAACTTCCCAGCCGTGGTTATTAAACTGTGGGGAACCGCCGATTGGTCGCTTATAACCTGTTCTTAGGTTGTAACACAACCTTCCTAAAATTAATGTCTGTATAAGATACCTAAGACATGCTCTACAAGTGTTAAATTAACATGTACTAAGGCTTACCTAATTATATTATACATAACTCTAGTATAAACTTTGCATCTAAAGACTTTTAGAATTATGTAAAGATTATAGAAGTAACATGTTAATAAATGTTAGTAGAAGCCTATTAGGCTCTAGAGAAGATTAAGCGCGCGCACGCACTACTGCAGCGCGCATATAACATCCTCTGTGTAGAATTAGATAATTGTACAAACAATAAGTTAGTGTTGCAGATAGCTGTTAAAGCTATTATTAATATAGTAAGACTAAACAGTTTTATACCTATATTACTTATGTTTAGAATATATCTAAGAATTAACATAGATTTTACACTATCTCTTAATATTATTATATAAGATAACGCTGTATAAAAGGTAATAAAAATACTTTAAAGTAAAAGAGTAAAAGATAATATTAATTATATAATTAATACCTAGAACAGCTTAACTTTATATAAAGTACTAAATTTTCTACTTAGTTTAAAAGTAATAATATAGCATAACAAAAAAAAATAGCTAGGCTTATATAAGATAAAAAGAATTAAGAACTAACATACTTTACAGGCAAGTTGCTTACACACCTAAGTTGCTTACTTTTACTAAGACCCTACTACACTACTTTTTTTACACTAATGTATTTCTAATAATACTACTTAAATATATTAAAAAAATGTTAGGTACAGCTTATACTTTAGGCTTTTAAATAAAATATAACACTTTTTAAATAACATGCTGCAGCTATCTATAAAGTCTTTTAAAAATAATAAGTAACTAACACACTAAATAACCTTTTTAAGCTAATAATATAGCTAACTTATAAAAGCTAGATAATAATAGAGAGAAAGTAATTATTTAGCACATACTTAAGCTAGATATGTAAGACTTTCCTCTTTAGCTAGTAGCTATAGCTAATATAGCTAATTCTTTATACACTAAGTATAATATAAGCTATATTAGCATAAACTAGCTTAATATATTTATTAAGTGTTACTTAAAGCTTAAAGTAAAGTTTAAGTGTAAGTATAACTATAAAAAAGCTTTTTGTAAAAATTTTATAGTAATTTAAAGCTAGTTTAACTTTATAAAAAATATTAAAGCTAAGTATAGTATCTAGAATAATAACATATATAACTTTAATAAAATAAAGTTTATAATAGGCTAAATATCTACTAGAGTAGTTATTATAAGTTTAGAGAGATAAGGATAGCTAAAAGTAGTTTAGCTAGGTAACTAAGAGTAGACAACAGCTATTTAGAGCATTAATGCTAAAAAGTAGGCTATTTTACTTTTTATTATTTTTTAAAGTAGTAACTACTTTTTAAACTAGTATAAAAAGAAAAATTTACTTTAAAATTAAGTTATTATATTCTCTAAGTATAGCTAGACTACTAATTAGCTTAGTTTAGACTATTTAAAGCACTTTAACGCGCATATAACAAAGTGTACTATTAGTAGCTACTATTTACTAGTTATTAATAGCTATAAAAGCTATAACTTACTTTATTTTTAGTAATACTATAAAGATAATAAAATTATTACTATTTATATACTTTTTTACTTATTATACTTTTTATAGCTACTTAATGTAAGTTATTTTACTTTTTTAAAAAAAGTATATAGGCGCTAAGCTAAAAACTTTATATATAACTAAATTACTTATATTATAAAAATAAAGTTCCTACTATACTTTAAAGTAGCCTATAATGCTATAATTACTTTTAGTAATATCTAAGAAAAGTTTTAAAGCGCTAGATTAGTTTTTTTTAACTTATAATAAGTTATAATAGGCTTTAATGTAAAGTTACGCACTTTATTACTACTACTACTTATATATAATAAGCTCTAGTAGTTGTAAACTCTAAGTAATACTTTAAAACTTAAGTTATAATTAATACTTATAAAAATAAAAATTTAAAAGCGTATAAATAGTTTACTAACTTTTATAGTTAAAGTGTTTAAAAAAGTTTTAAAAAAGGTAGTAATAATTATATATAAGCTAGTATTAGTATAATAAAAAATTACTAAGCTTTAAGTAGCTAATAAAGCTACTACATAATATAAATTATATAAAAAAAAGCAGATTAAAGTAAAAAAAACTTTAATAATTTAAAAAAGCCTACACTTAATAGCTTTAAAAGAGTTTAGAGTAACGTACTTCATGGGCGAGTTGCTCACACACCCGAGTCGCTCACTTTTGCCAAGACCCTACTAAACCACCCTTCCTACACTAATGCATTCCCCACAACACTACTTAGACGCGCTAAAAGAATGTTAGATACAGCTTGCGCTCTAAGCTTTTAAATAAGACATAAAACTTTTAAAGAAATGTGCTATAGCTATATGCAGAGTCCTATAAAAGACAATAAATAACTACAGCGCTAGATAACTTTTACAAGCTAATTCTACAGCTAAATTATAGAGGCTAGGTAATAAAAAGGAGCAGGTGATTATTAAGACTATACTTAAGCTATATGCGCGAGGAATTTCCCCTTAAATAGCATTTGTGGCTAATATAGCTAATTCTTTGCGCGCTAAGCGTAATCTAGGCTATGTTTGCATAAACTAGCCTAGTACGTTTATAAAGTGTTATTTAGAGCTTAAAGTAAAGTTTTAAGCGCAAGTATAGTTAAAAGATATCTAGCTAATTATAAACCCTGTCTTGCTAAAGTTGTACATGTTATTATCCTAGATGCTATACTTAGCTTTAATATTCTCTATAAGGCTAAACCTGCCCTAAATTACTCTAGGACTCTTGCAGAGGGCTCTCTTATAGTTGTACTTACGCTTAAACGTTACTTTAAGCTCTAAATAACGCTTTATAAACATACTAGGCTAGTTTATGCGAACATAGCCTAGATTACGCTTAGCGCGCAAAGAATTAACTATATTAGCTATAAATGCTATCTAAGGGGAAATTCCTTGCGCATATAGCTTAAGTATAGTCTTAACAATTACCTGCTCCTTTTTATTGCCTAGCCTCTGTAATTTAGCTGTAGAATTAGCTTATAAAGGTTGTCTAGCGCTATAGTTATTTATTATTTTTTATAGGACTCTACACATAGCTACAGCACATTTCTTTAAGAGTTTTATGTTTTATTTAAAAGCTTAGAGCGCAAGCTGTATCTAATGTTCTTTTAGCGCGTCTAAGTAGTGTTGTGGGGAATGCATTAGTGTAGAAAGGGTGGTTTGGTGGGGTCTTGGCAAAAGTGAGCGACTTGGGTGTGTGAGCAACTCGCCCATGAAGTACGTTACATAGTAATAAGAAAAAGGTAAAGAAGCAGGTGTAAGCTAAAGTAGGTAAGCTATTCTAAAGGCGCTACAGACAGTGCAATTAGACTAGGCATAACATAGAAACATGTAAGTAAGAAGTAAAAGTAGTATCTAAATAATATTCTAGGCTGCACTGTACTATATAGTGCTAGAGCAGGTTGTTATAGGCCATAATAGAGTTTGTTAGGGTGGGGTCTTGGCAAAAGTAAGCAACTCAGGTGTGTGAGCAACTCGCCTGTGAAGTACGTTAGAACATTATTATTAATATAAAAAATAGTCTAGTAAAATTCTAAGCTACATAAGTTAAGCTATATTATTGTGTAAAGAATGTATAAGACTTGCTAGACCTAGACAAACTAGCTATTATATAAAAAGACCCTCTATAAGTGTAAAAAAGAGGTTAACTACGCAAGCAACTAGCTCTGCACAATCTACTAGCAAAAGACACAGTGCTAGATCTATTGTACAAACTAGATCTAGAGCTAGCGCTATAACTAGATAAAAAAGGACATAGAAGACTGCGCAAGTATAGTGTATAAAACATAACATTTCTTACTTAAAAAAAAAGAGATAATTACACACTAGTAATTAAGCTCTGCGCAGATAGTGTAATTACAACACCTAAGAAACTCTTTAAAGAATTAGACTATATAAAAATAAAAGGTCTAATTATAAGCAGCATGTTTAAAGTACTCTTATATAATTTATTAATTTACAAGAGATAACGTACCTAACGGGTTGGCCGGCCACAGAGGTTGGCCGGCCACTTTTGCCAAGCCCCTACTAAAACCACTCTATTCTCTTGCAAAATAGCCTACTTTAGCCCTATATAAAGTAATATAACATAAGATATTATTTAAAGTTTACTTTTACTACTTGCTTACATGTACGCAAGTTATGCCTAGTCTAATTGCACTGCTTACATTACCTTTAACTTAGCTTACTTTTGTCAGATATGCGCACCTACTGTCAAGACAGGAGGAACGTTTGACGAAAGCTGCTACATA